ATATATATATATATATATATATATATATATATATATATATATATATATATATATATATATATATACTTATATAAGTAGGACAACAGGAATGTAAGGCCTGTTCCCCCATATATATTTTAGAAAATGCAGAATTTGACATTGTATTTATGCTAACTTTCAAGAAATGGTTGCTATTAGTGTAACTTACTTCAACTGACTGTACACCCAAATAACATCTGATTGTTCTTAAAGTGTTTTATAAACCTTGATAAATTAAATACTTCAAACATTAAGGAAATGCACCACAATGCAAGGCATAAAGCACAGAAAAATAAAACAGAATTACAAAAAGGGAACAGGACAAATCAACAGAATCATAGGGCCAGATCATTGATCCATCCATTTTCTGTAAATGCATAGTCCTGGTCAGGGCCAAAAGGGAGCTGCGTTTGAGTTTGAGTTTGCGAAAGCTGATGCTGAGCATGTTTTTGATTTGTGACAAAAATAGACACAAGCAGAGGGAAAGCCTCCAAATTTCTCATACTGTAATTGAACAGCCCTGACTGGAATGAGCCAAGGCACTTCTTGTTTGGATGCAGCATTTAGTACTGCTTCATGATGCTATTTCATTTTCATAGATGCTTAAGAAGTAAAAAAAAAAATTCTGATGCTCTATCCGAAAACTAATTGTTAGCAGAAGTCTACCATTAATTAATCCCAATCATCCCAAACAGATAGCCATACTGGTTTCTGCTTTTGCAGGAGCGACATGTACCACTACATTATGTAGTACTTAAAGTTCTAATAAATCACTAAAACATTTTTTTTTGCGTCTCTCTTTTTTTTGCTGTATATGTGCCCTTTGGTATACTAGGTCCTCAATATGGTTATTCTATATGTTGTTTCTTTCCATTTCTATTTTTGACAACTATTGTTAACCAATTCTATTGTGTTTTTTATTACATTTATTTATTTCATAACATCTCTAAAACCTACACTCTTTTTGGCTTACTATTTGAATCTAGATTGTGATGCACCTGAATCTCCATGCATTTTTTAAATTTGTAGCATACATATAGGTTTGGTTGAAGTTTTTGGCTTTTATGTATTTTCAATTAGGAAATTAACATTACATCGATACAATACATGAAAAAAAGGGCTGTTATGTTTTTGAATTTATTTTTTATTTTAATTATTTTGCCAACAATTTTAATTATTTTATGATGTAATTTCCAGGTTTTTGTTTGATTTTTTTTATGTGAAAACCCCCCCCAGATGTTTAATAGTTTAATAAAAGCCTAAACGATTGCATTATTCAATTCATTTATTATTTGAGTATCAGCCTTTCATAGTTATAGAAACTGATACAAACCTGACATGGATGGTATTAAAATTCTTTCCCTTGCTTTTTCTTTTTTTAAGGGTTTTTTCTTTGAAGTTTAAATAAGCGTCACATTTAGGTGATCAGTGTTTTAGCACATTGCATTTAAGTTAAATCCACTGATAGTATTTATAGTTGGCAGCATCCAGCTTCAGGCAAACACCTAAAGCTCAGCTGGCTTTCCTGTCCCTTTCAGTCCTTCAAATGTTCAGGGTCTGTTGGGTAGCCAATCTTGTTCTGTTTACCTATATGAATCATGGAGAGCTAATTCAAATAAGCGAACCCCCCAAAAATATATCTGGAGATAGCTGAAGCATGTATGTAAACATAACAGCAAAGAGATATATTTTCTTAGGTTAATTTGTTGACTCAGCTGCATCTTAGATCTACCAATAGAGCTAATTCACACATGCAGGACACTTTGTCTCTTGCTCTTGATCCCACTCCTTCATTCAGTTCAGTTTGAGTTTATTTAAAAAATGCTCCTTCACAATCACTTTACTTTATAGATTTGTACAAAATGGGTCCACGGACAAATTCAGTCAGTCCTGTTGTTCCTTTACAGCCACAAACTCCTCTTTCTTCTATAGGGATTTTAAGTGTTAGACCAAAACAAAGTGAAAGATATATAAGATATGATCTATATAAAATCTCAAAAGTGTGGCATGCAGTTGTATTCAGCTCTTCCCAGGCCATTCTGAAATATAATCATGTTTTAAACTAAACCAATGGTGTTTAGAGTGTGATCTGTGGGCTATTTATAGCCTTGGAATGATTTTAGGTGGCCCAGCCCACAGTTAAATAATGGCACAAATAGAGCTGATGCAGATGTAAAACTGATTGACTGATGAGTTTTAAGGACAGTTTTATATGTTTTTATGAAAAATCAAATATGTATTTTTTTCACTTTAAAGGCATGTTCTTTGTTTCATTTTGAATATTAGAGTAGATAGTGCTAATAACTAATTATGACTCAGAAACAGACTTGAGCACATCTCTACCTAAATACAGGATAGCCTTTTCAAATTTGCATTTATTTTTTGTGATTCTTTAATTTATTGTAACCAAATAAAAAATATCAAACATTCTACTAAAACATCATACCCCATTACTTGGTAACAAGCCTGTGTAGGCTTATAAGAAATTATGCAACTACCAGACACAAAAAAAGAAAGATGATCATCAAGACTTTTACCAAACTAAATTACATAAGAAAAGTGAATCACTAAAGTCTGTGTTTCAGTTGCTAAGCGCTTTGATAAATTTAGTTAAAACAAAATGTTCCTCTTTAAATGCATTAGGATTTTTCTGGTGAATCACCTTAAACAACAACAAAAAAACCTCCTCAAATCATAATGTAAAGGAGAATGACTTATGAAATGAAATTCATCCTCAACAACTTTGAGTTTACAGGAGCACACAAACATTGGTCTTTAGGAGCCCCTTCTAACCCCAGAGAAAGAGTAGTTCTTTACTGGTAATTCAAAGAATTACTTGATTACCGGTAATTTACTGGTAATCAATATACATACGGTAATACTTCACTGGAAATAAGATGTAGAAATTCTTGCATTCTTTTCTTGTATCCACATCGGCTGCTGGATGCTTGCATACGATGATTGTTTTGTTAATGCAGCAGCCATGTTTTGAGATTATGTGAAGCACATGCATTCCTCTGTTTGTTATAAATTGTTAAAGTTTTCTTTGATTTTTTTTATAGATGTTTTGTGCTTGTTTAAATTTAATGTTTAATATCATCTGTGTCATTTTTTTTTTCATGTAAATAGAGGAAGAAAAACACATTTCAGCTTCCATAATCTGCACTAAAAGATCTACAGCACATATTATGGATCTGCTACACTGATGTCTGAATATTTAGAATAGGTAATGGTTTTACAAAACCCGAATTAGTTCATCTCTATTTACGTATCAACATTTAAAGATCATGTCTTTTACAAATTGTATACAAAACCATATTATTAAACAATTAAAAATGAGTGCAAGCATAAAGACAGATTCTAATTCCCACTTTTTCAGCACTAGTTTCAAAAAATGATTCCCCATTTACCTTAAGATTCTCAAGTTAGTTTATTTACCTCCAGAGTTGCTGTTGATTATTACATTAACAATATTCCAGTCAAATATTTCAGTATAATAGTGGAATTCTTGTATGTTTTAAAGCGAGGTATTAGGTTTATGTTTTTTGCACCAAAGTTGTCCTGAGTTTAATCATGAAATTGATCAACTCTGACCGACTTCCCCTGTTGAAAAAAAGGATCCCCTCAGCATAATGCTACCACAACTATTTTTCACTGGGTTGATGTGTTCTAGTTAATATAAGCTGATGGTTTTCTCCCAAAAATAGTTTTGGTCCCATCGAATTAAAACAACCTTCCACTTGTTTGCTGTTTTCACTGCTTGGCTTTTGGCTGTTTGTAATGATAGCATGAAGTACTCTTCACATTTAGAAAATCTTCACGTCTCTCCTCAGGACACAGGACTCTGTTTGTGGGAGTTCGGATGCCCAGACAGAGCCATCGGCATCATAGACCCCATGGATCCCGCCACCGTAAGAAAGATAAAAGGGCAGGAAGCATCACGACACAACAAAGCGAAGAAAGTGAGGCAGCTGCCAGCAGTCATGGTAACACACCAGTCCACAAAACCCATCAGTATAAAGATCTTGTTAACCCTTTTGTTGTATAACAACTACACGTGAGGTAAAACGGACAGGCTACTAATGAACAGAGACTAAACCTTGGAACAGGAACTAATCTGCAGGATGGATTTCTGTTTGTGTGTGAAAGTGAACATACAGTTGCTGCAAACATAAGTAAGGACATAAGTAAACAACTCTTCACCTCTCCCTGCTTCTCTCACAACCTGTGTCTCCATTAGACACACCATCCCAGCGGGTCCAGTTCATCCTGGGTGCAGAGGAGGATGCTGAGCACGTTTCCCATGAGCTGTTCACCGAGTTGGATGAGATCTGTGTGAAGGATGGCAAAGATGCAGAGTGGAAGGAAACAGCCAGGTCAGGGGCAGATGAAAACAAACCAGACAGTAAATCATCTCACTGGATGTCCTGCAGCAGGGCTGGAATAATGAGATAAACAAATTTACAAGTATTATTTCTAGACCTTAGGGAATCATTTCTTGGGTTGCTGAAGATGAGTCATACAAAAACGAGGATACTTAAACAAACCCTGACATAACCACGGAACACTATCAATCCGTCCTGATAGTAAGCTGCTGGTACTGAACTTATCTCTTTACTAAAGAAATTTCAAGATTAAAAAGAAGTTGAAACAATTGGACTTATACAGTAATGTAATTTTAGCTTTGCAAGCATATATTTGTTTTTCTTTAATCCCAGGATTTTTTGTTTCCAAGGTTTTTCTCTTTTGAAAATCAGGTCTGGCACTTTTCCCGTCCAAAAAAACCCCCAAAACATACAATGACAGAAATTTACCTAATTGAATTGTGTTATCAACTTTGCAACGATCCGTCATACTGAACATTCATGTTGCTTTAGCACTGGGGACAACTTTTACTTTTTCAGAAAAAAAAACTCCAGAAAAAGAGAGACAGAAGTACTGATCCTGATGTTTTTGCTTTGTAAAAGACATACTGGTGACTTAATTGTTGCTGCAAAACCAGAGTAACCTCAGCCACTTTAAAGGAGAACACTGTTTTTTTTACATTACACGGCACTTTGTTTTTAAAACATATAGATATGAAAAATATAACCAAGGATGTCTGGGGGACAGTGATTCGCCTACATGTTATGAATTCTGGTGTACCATAAAGAATAAATTATGAACAGTTTCGTTTGTGCCTTCAAGTCGACTGCCCATAGGAAGATGTTACTTGGGTATAACCTAACGGAATATCTTCTGAACCGCTCCAAATGACACAAAACTCATATGGGTGAGTAGAATATGATGTAATAACGTAAAATCAAGGGCCCAATGTAAAAAAAAAACAGCAATCAAAAGGAAAGTTTAAAGCCAAGTGTTAAAATTAGACAGTCTGTCCCACAGTCTGAAACTAGGAGATGGAAACTAGGAGCCTGATAACTAAAAGATCTGTCTCTTATTCTACTTTTAGAAATTCAAGGACTTACCAGTAAACTTGTTGCAGATTGGGAGTGAGGTACAGTGTTAGGAACATCAAATATCAATCAAATAATCTGATGTACAATGGAGTGTAATTATTACATTTTTTTGTATGAGAGAATAATAAGTAAACCTGTAGTCTTTTAACATGCACATAGAAATGTTCATGATATTCTGCAATGTAACATGTTTAACGGGTACAGCAACAAAAAAACAACTTTTCACTTAAACTGCTCCATCTTAGCACCTAATTTCATCATTGTCCATCATTCTCCATAAATGGGAAGTGTACATAGCAGTAGAAACAATATTTAAGAGCCCAGTTTTCACCAGAACAAGCTGAAATCAAGTTTCCATCTCAGCACATTAACTTATGTTTACATTAAATGTTATCGCTTTAAAGTATCCAAATATGCTGTATAGGATTTTCTAAGTACACAAGTTGGATATTATAGTGCAATTTTGTTACAAATGTTACCTCTATGCACCTATTATATGTAATATAGACAAATTCTAATTCAGTTAAATGTATTTTGAATTCAGGTAACTTTGTATATAAATAAAACATTGACAATATGAGCATCAAGTATTTGTAATGAATTAACAGCTTTTTAGCTAAAAAAAGACAAAAGAGGCACACAAAAAAAACTAAGAATAAGTTATGCAGAAATAACCACTGCTTCTGACTCTGCTGGTATAAACAAACAGCTGCAGAAGTAGAAGATAACCATTATTTTGCTTGAGCTGTGCCTCTGCACCATTGTTAGTTTAACTTTAAATTGTGTATTGCTATATCTGAATCAAATATAATCTTGTTTAGTTTATTATTTATTTCATTGAATCTAGTCAAAAAATAATTAATTACCCTCAAATCAATATCTATTTTTGTTATTTTTATTGGTTATGGGTAATAGATAAAAAAACTCAACATTTAGTTCTCAGATAATTAAAATATTAGATTACATTAAAATTATTTTCTACTCATCAATTTTGGTCTATTGAAAAGTATTTCTATCTTATATAAAGCAATTCCACTCAATACTTGGTCTGGGTTTAGTTTATACGAAATTATTTACTACATCTTTCTCACGAACACCTTGGCTCTGCCACTCTGTTTACATTTGGTAACTGCTGCATTCTATGGAATGGAAATGTTCATTTACTGTCTGAAAAGTTGTACTTTTCCCGGCGAGGGCCGTTGCCGACCCCGGCAGGGCCGATCCGAGAACCTCACTAAACCATCCAATCGGTAGCTTATGACCCATGCTTACTCGGAATTCCTCGTTCATGGGAAATAATTGCAATCCCCAATCCCTATCACGAGTGGGGTTCAGCGGGTTACCCGCTCCTCTCGGCGAAGGGTAGACACACGCTGATCCACTCAGTGTGGTGCGCGTGCAGCCCCGGACATCTAAGGGCATCACAGACCTGTTATTGCTCAATCTC